ACATTTTGTTTTAGTTTGATTAAGGTTGCGGGTCTACCGATTTATTACTTTACAGAAGCTACTTTACACATGGAGTGTGGAATCAGAAAATCCTCAGGTAATATATATTCATTTATATTCATTTATTTATACCACAGTATGGTTTGTGAAAAGGACAGGGTAGGCAGTTTCTTGTCCATTTGCTCAGAATTATAGTATGTCATTCTACTGGGTTAATAGTGTTTGATATTTGTGTCTCTCTTGTGCCCACTGTACATTAAGTGACTGGGGGAGAGTGTAGAATTCTTCCAACCACGAGTTCTTTGGAACAAGAATTACCGAGTTATATTTAGTTATTGGTTTGATTTAGTTATTTTAGAACATTATGCGTCTATTTTTTATTTCAATTTGCTGCTATACAGCAAGAGAATATATATCCCTGGATGTGGCTCTGAATTGACCCAGTCTCCATGAATTGCAATATGATCTGTTGTTTGATTAGTTCTCAATTGCTGTAGATAGCATGGCTACTTTTAGGTTTACTTTTTATCAGACACAGATGTACTCTGAAATGTATTATCACACTCATGTGTGATCTTTGATTGCATATAGGATTATTTTACTTAAACAAATTATTAAGATCAGAATTGGAGCATATTCCCAAACGTTATAATTTATCTTCAAATTCTGACAATCAGATTCTATAATAATGCATATTATAGCAATGTGTGTTGCCCAATTTATTAGATCTGCCACATACATATTTAATAAATAAAAAAGTAATGACAAGGTAATATGTACTAGTCTGATGTAATATTATTGCTAAAGCTTAATATATCTGTGTGTTCCTACACAACATTTCTACAACTTTACTCATGCGCAACAGTTGCTTAAAAGACCACTCTATACCCCAAAAGCACTTCAGATCCCCAAACAGTCAGAGAGGTTTGCAGCCTCCTTCCGTTAGCCCTCCTGAGCTAACGGAAGTGGCAGGCATACTCTAGTTGAGTGTGTCTGCCTTCTCCTCCCACACAGACCTCAGACCAGCTCCTTAGCTTCACAGACCTCAGATGTGCACGAACTGGCATGAGCACATGTAACGGTGCACACGTGTGCACATTTATAATCAGAAACATCTGGTTATTTCACCATAAAAAGACTAAAAGTCTCTTCTAGAAAAAAAAGAGGAAGGCTTGGTAAGGCTGCAGTTCATAATGTATATAGCCTTTGCAAGATCTTTTAAGATATACCTTTAATGAATAAATGCATGAAAAATGTATGCATGCATTCATTGAGGGTATATCTACTTATCAGTGATCATTTTGGCTTTTGCCCATTTGGACTGTGGAGTGTTCCTTTAAATGCTTGATACATAATCTGAGAACCCTATCCGTAGTGCCTGCTTTATATAAAGTACAATGTACATGGACATGTACATGTTCCTACTGATAAGAAGCTATGGGGAGGATTTTATAATTTGGAATAATTTGCCTTATGTTAAGACCAGCCGTTGGTGTGTGGCAAGATACTGATTTTTCCTATGGCCTTTTTTTTTGTATAAAAAAGCAAGCAATATTATTTATTACAAAGCCCTAAATATAAGTCTGTAAAGAATATATGTTTACATCTCTCAAATGCATCATTTCAACACACAGTTTTACGAGATTGCAATCCAAGTATACATAGCAAACATAAAAACAAAATCATCAAAATGAATGATCCCCATTGTGATGCAAATGCGCTTAGTACTTATCCTATAACATCTCAAAAGAGAATTTCCTTTTGATATTACAAGAAATATACTACAGCTGCTCTTAATCCCAGTTCTCAATTCTCATTTATATATTCAAGCAGGTACATCTAAAATGCTTAAAGAAGTGAATGCTTTACTGCTAATCCACACTGGCTAGATTCAGCTTGTTGATATTGAAGTGCAATGCCAGTTAATGGGTGTAAGGAGATTCCTCCTCTATTATTACAAGAGATATATTTTTGAGAAATGTTGCAGTTAAAATGTTTCAGAGCTACATTAAGTAGTTTCTTAAAGTGAACTAGAAAGTGACAGCTGTTGTGATAGGAAGAGACAGTTTTTTTTCCAACACCCTGTTAGAAATTATACTGAAATTGTAACTGAAAAAAATTGATTCCATTTCTCATACTTTCACAGGGTTTAATATATACAAAGCACTGATATTGTCATTCTGTATTTCTTATCTCAATTCTCAGCTCAATTCACAGACCATTCCAAGCTCAATTTCTAGCTTATACACTTCAAATTGCCAGTCCATGTTACTGAATTTCCATACTAACCTTAGTTAAAATGACAATTAAGGGGCAGAAACTGAATTCCAACATGACCAGGCGTGTATGCTGGCTGCTCCTGTAAACTCGAGCTGAATTTAAACTTAAACTGCACAAAAAACAAACCAAGGCAGTACAAGGTGTACAGCAGACCGACACTATCGCACAGGGATCTTTAATAGACCTGCAACACCACGCTCTGACAGCCCACTACACTGCCTGGCCCTGTGGGCTAGCGAAAACAGCAACACGCTAACTGGGAGAAGCAGACGATCTCCCACTTGGGGGTGTGCATATCGCAGCTTCTCCTCTGAAGCCCCGTCAACCCCCTCTGGACCGCTGGGGGATATCCCAGTCCCTGCTGGGGAAACTCTCCTCCCTGCATCAGCAGACTCAAATCCTGCTGCTCTGTGGCAGATCCAAGATGGCCACCATGCAAAAGCTCATACAATGGCAGACATGGAAGGAGTGATTTGAGGCTAGGTTTGAGGAGATCTGCCAGAGGTTCTGGCTCAGTCTATGCCGCCATCCTTGTAACCATACCCCACTCAACATACCGCAGACACAAGATTCTGCTACAGCTCATCGTACCTCCTCTGGACTGGAGGCCTATCTGAGGTCACAGCTACCTTGTGGACCACATGCCCGGGAGGTTCTCTGTGCCCGGAGACCCTGCAGACCTGTGATCTTCCCGCTTGCATATCCTTAGTGAATTTTTATTCATATTGCAGGAATTTCTGTTTTCTGTTTCCTATCCCCTCTGAGTATATTACACAGTGGCATTACACTTCACTTGATTTAATCTGCTTAACCTAGCTTGTCTTCCTAATAATTGTGCATCTAATAACTGATTTTGCTTAACAATAGCTTGACTAGATAGAACATATTCATGCTTCATGAATAGTATTGTGAATTACTATAGATCTTCAAGTTGCACTTAAAATGTGGCAGCACTTGCTGTCTGTTTGCTGTTTTACTATGCAATGCTACAATAAAAATATGAGTTAAAAAAAAATGTCAATTAAGCTCAAAAGATGGTTCTGAGAAATGCAAAATTGAACTATTGGCCATTGTGGATTCATTCTATTTATAAATAGCAGCCTATTCTGTCTTAAATGTGAACCTACATTGTTTGCTGATTTCTAAGAAAGTGTACCTGGACACAGATTTTCTACAACAATCAGAGCCTTCAACTTTATATTTCTAGATGTTCTATTTCTGGATTGAAATATGTATATTCAGTTGGCTTGTTTTTTTTTCAGTTTGTATTTTTATAAGAAAAATGAAAAGTAAAAAGGTATACAAATGATAAAAATATATATGATAAAAAATATAACACTATATCAGCATTAAAATATAAAAATGAGGACAAATTTGGGCATTCTTTCATCTTAAAATATTTGCTAATGAAGTTCTTAATAAGGAAATGATATATGTCATATTGCTTTGTATCTTTATATTGTTGAAAATAATTGAAAATTATTATATTTAATTTCGTGGCAGCACCGAGATTAATACACCAAATTAGGCTATACAGTTGTTCATGCACGTTTGCTTATACAACCAATAAAGGATGAGTAGACTGTCTTAGAAATTTATATTTCCATGTTCATGGATGAATGTCTGTGAAATGAAGATAACAACCTATAATTATAATTCAAAATAAGTAATTGACCTGATAATGCAGAGGATATAGTTAATGTCTCAGTAAAAGGTGAAGGGTAAAGGGTAACAGTGTATGAATTGTCAGCTAAAAGATCTTTAACGTGTCAGTGGGCATGTTATGACTATTTTTGCATTCAATGTAATAAATATTGCTACTATTAATTTGTAACGCTGTTCAGTACTCCAAATATAAAACCTCAAGTACAATTTCTAGCAGGTTTCTTCAAATGTCAATGAAATGATTACCACTCAGACAGGGGCGGACTGAGAACCCTCAGGGCCCCCAGGCAAAATAAATCAAGGGCCCCCTTACAGGCCCCACCCATACTCTGCAGCAAGCGCCACCCTTGTCCCGCCTCCATGCACCACCTCCAGCCACACCCTACACAATCTTTAGACACAAGGAACAAAAGGGCAATAAGCCCTTCGAGGCCCCAGTAGAGACTACAATTGAGGGCTAATGGGCCATGGAGGGGGGTCTTTCTAGCGGAGGCTATCTCAGTGTCCTTTAGAGAGTGTGTTAGATAGAATCCCCTCCAAGCCCCATTAGAGACTACAATGGAGTCTAAAAGGCTTGGAAGGGGTCTTTCTAACAGAGGCCATCTCAGCGTCCATTAGATATCCCCTGCTGGAAACAGTCGCCTCCAGGCCCCAGTAGAAACTACAATTGAGGGCTAATGGGCCATGGAGGGGATTTCTAGCAGAGGCTAGAGTCTAATGGGGCCTGGAGGGTGGTCTCTCCAACACTCTGGTTCCTATTCACAATATAGCAACACAACATAGCTCGCTGATACCTAAGCCAAGTTGGCTCCTCTTACCTTAATTACTGTTGCTGGCTGGCAGTCTGTGGGCTTGCTGGCTACGGCTGGCAGGCTGTGGGCTTGCTGGCTACTACTGGCAGGCTGTGGCTTGCTGGCTGTAAGCCTGTGGCTTGCTGTAGGCCTGTGGGCTGGCTACTGGCCTGTGGGCTGGCTAACTGGCTGGCTACTGGCCAGCCTGTGGGTTGGCTGGCTGGCTACTGGGGCACTTGTAGATTATTTAAAGAAATAGTCCATGCACAATAACCACTACTGCTCCAGAGTAAGTAGTCAAACCGTTTAAGAACAGTTTGACAACTTACCTGGGGTCTGCTGGGATATGAGGCTGTAGTAGGGAATAGGAGCAGTGGTGCAATGTGTGTGAAAGGTTCAGTGTGTGTGTGGGGGTGTAGTGTGTGAATGTGTAGGGTGTGTGGGCGGTGTATGTGTGTGGCAATGTTAGTATGGGGGGCTGTGTATGGGGGTCTGTGTGTATATGGGTGGGCAGTGTATGTGTGTGTGTGTGTGTGTGAGGCAATGTGTGTAAATGTGTATGGTGTGTATGGGGGCAGTGTGTAAATGTGTATGGTGTGTATGGGGGCAGTGTGTGAATGTGTAAGGTGTGTGTGTGTGGGGGCAGTGTGTTTATGGGGCTAGAGTTCACTCTCACCACTGCGACCACCAGGAATCCATGGGGGTTACAGTGTTGAGAGTGAACTCTAGCCCGTAGCTCCAGGGCTAGAGTTGACTCTCGCAAGAGCAGTAACGTTGCCATGGTAACCGCGGCAGCGCTCTGTGCTCGCGCAAGAAGGACCCAGAGGAGCTGCAGGGTGAGCTCCCAGGTCCTCTCTTCCTCCCCTGCCCGCACGGTGCCTGCGGACAGGGGAGGGGGGGCATTCTTCCCTCTCTTTCTCCCCCCTCCCCCAACTCTCTATTCCCCCCTCTTTCTCTCCGTGTCTCATTCTTCCCTCTCTGTCTCTTTCTCCCCCTCCCCATCTCTCTATTCCCCCTCTTTCTCCCCGTGTCTCATTCTTCCCTCTCTGTCTCCCCATCTCTCTATTCCCCGTGTCTCATTCTTCCCTCTCTGTCTCTTTCTCCCCCTCCCCATCTCTCTATTCCCCCTCTTTCTCCCTGTGTCTCATTCTTCCCATCTCTCTATTCCCCCTCTTTCTCCCCGTGTCTCATTCTTCCCTCTCTGTCTCTGTCTCCCCTTGTGTCTCATTCTTCCCTCTCTTTCTCCCCATCTCTTTATTGCCCCCCCTTTCTCCCCCCTCCCCATCTCTCTATTCCCCGCTTTCTCCCCCTCCCCATCTCTGCTGTCTCATCTTTCTCCCTCTTTTCTCCCTCCCCTCCCCATCTCTAACCCCTCTTTTTCTCTCTCTTTTCTCCCCTCCCCATCTTCTAGTAACCCCTCTTTCTCCCTCCCCCATCTTCAACCCCTCTTTTCTCCCCCTCCCCATTCCTAACCCCTCTCCCTCCCCCATGTCTCTATTGCCCCATTCTTTTCTCCCTCCCATCTCTATTGCCCCATCTTTTTCTCCCTCCCCATCTCTATTGCCCATCTTTCTTCCCCTCTCCCCTATCTCTATTGCCCCATCTTTCTCCCCATCTCTATATTGCCCCATCTTTTCTCTCCCTCCCCATCTTCCCTTCTCCTCCTCATCTTCAACCCCCTCCCCCTCTGGCTTCAGTCAAGTCGGGCCACAGCTGGAGCCGCCTGAATGCTAAAAGCTCACACTGGCGTATTCTTCTTTCACTAACACTGAAGAAGGAGGAGGAGGAGGAGCATGTGTCTGTCAGGCTCCTTTGCGGTTCCCACATCCTGTGCTGGGAATTGTGGGAACCGCAGGGAGCATGACAGACACATGCTCCTCCTCCTTCTTCTTCTTCAGCGTTATTGAGAGGAATGCCGCCGGACCGGCAAGGCTGCCACCCGGTCCGGCGGCTCCAGCATCAAACGGCCAGCCGCCCCCCTCACAGTGTGCCACCGGACCGGCCACCCGGTGGCACCTGCAGTCCCCAAATGCCGCCCCCAATCCAGCCCTGCTGCCAGGGCCCCCTGAAGGCGGCCCTGGCGGCGGGCCCCCCTCCCGGCCGGGCCCTCGGACCATGTCCGAAGTGCCCGACCGGTCAGTCCGCCCCTGCACTCAGATGAGTAATGGTAGCATCTATTTCTTAGCTAGCTGATTCAAAGGGACACTATAGTCACCAGAAACACTACAGCTTAATGAAGCCCTGCAGGCTGAGTAAGGAAAATTCTGCTATTTCAAAGAAAAGGCAGTGTTTACAATGCTGTCTAGGAATACCGCTAGAGACAGTCACTCAGCCAGCCACTAGAGATGCTTCCTATTGCAGTGCTGCACTGTGTGCAGCACCGACGTTCAGCATCTCCATGCTCTGCATGGAGACGCTAAATGCTCCTCATAGAGACGCATTGATTGAATATATCTATGAGAATGAGAAGATGCTGATTGGTGCAGAGCAGCATTTTTACATGCATGTGCGATAGTCTCCCAATGCTTTCCTCTGGGAAAGCATTGGATTTACTGAGATCCTCAAGATTGAGAATCTCAGCCATGGAGGTCGGGTCAGCCATAGTGGGGCCAACATGGTAATGGGGAAAAGGTAAGTAAAGCTACCTTTTTACTCCATTCTGAGGGGGCTGAGAACCTAAATAGCTAGTCCAACACTATACTTTAGGATAAGAATACATGTCTATAGTGTTCCTTTAAATCTAAGGTGGTGTTTAGATACTTTGAATCTGGAAACATATATGCTACTTAAGTAGATTATTATCATGTGTTACTCAAATTATATTAGCTGTGGAAATGCTGTGCTTCTATACACAGTGACAGTAAAGGCAACCAGCTAACTCAACACAAAAATCTAGCACTTTAAAAAAATTGACAGCACAATGTAAGGCTCAAGTTCTATCAATAAAGGAGTTTAACTCCAGGAGCAATAATTGCATACTTTTAGCCAGCAGCAATTTTAGAAAAAGCACATGGTGGAATTACTGTCTAGAGAGGCAACGTGACTTTGTACTATCTATCTAGCTTACATAGTAATCTATTTTAAAAAAAGACAAAAAGTTCAACCTTTATTTAATTAATCTATTAATTTTCCGTCAAAATTATTAGTGACTTGTATTTCCAATGGTATAAATAGATATTAATTTCCAATAAAAGTGAATATGTAAACACGACAATCTAAATAACTAAAATCAGTACTTTTATTCAAAGTATTGAATCATAGTTCAGGAATACAACTCAGATTCAATTTTAGAGACTTCAGGTTAGATTCTGTTACCAGAGAGAAATTTAGCTCTGGTTACTGAATAACAATCCTACTATTGCAGTATCATGGAAAATTGTTAAACCTTTACCTTGAGTAAACCTTATCTCTGGCAAGAGTATTCAGTCCTTTGCATCTACTGCTAATGTTAATAATTATAGTGAGATTACTCAAATTATATTTAGATTAAAAAATCCTGAAAAGTATTAGGTTGTTTAAAAACACAATTACATAAAGAAATGCAATCAGTTCTACATGAATTATTCCAGAAGCGTATTGCTTACAAAATGTTAGCTAATCATTTTGTTTTAGAAGTTAATTTGAATATGATTTTAAGTATTAAAAGGAGTCATATTTAAACTGTTACTTTATAGTTTAAAAACTCAATTTTATTAATGACACGGAGGCTCCTATTATGCTATCTCTTTCTTACTTTATTCCTCAGCAGCAAAGAGAAATATAACTGAAAGAGAAAAATATGTAGAATATAAGCAATATATAACAGATACAACCATATCTGCCTAGTAACAGGGCAGCCAATCAGTCTCTAGGAACAGTCCATAAATCTCTATCCTTGTACTTCCACTTCCTCTTTCTTTGCTGCTGTCCTCAGACCAGCTAAGTATAATTTTTCTCTCCTACATTGTTTTGATTGATGGGTTTTTACTAAGGTTATATTACCTATGTTATTTTCTGTAATCATTTTTCTGATTGCTATTTGCTTTTTATTTGCCTTATTGGCAGGTTTTATGTCTGTATTTATGTGAATTTGTGAACCTCTTTTGGTTTAATATTTCTGCCTCCCCTGCGTTTGCCCGCCGCTTCCCCTGTCTGTCTGGCCGTTCCCTTTCCAGACAGGGTTCGCGGCTAGCAGGGGAGGTTCATTCTGGAGCCCTGTGCTCCCCGGTTCCCTTTCCGCGGTCGCGCTTATCTGCCGACCCGATCTCCCGCTGGTGCGAGGGAGTGCCGGCCGCGTGTGTGGTCGCGCTCCCTGGCCATTGGCGGGGGAGGAGCCTGGAAGCAGCCACGGCGCGTTCTGCGCACGGCGGCCATCTTCCCCTCGGGTTCCATGCGGCTTGGTCGGCTCCCTTTTACCTCTCCCATATTCTGTGCAAGTATTGTGTATATATTTTGTTTTCCTGGTGGGTTACTCAACCCCTCTACTGTGTAGGTTTATTTTACTGTCATCTGTTCTAGGTTAGTTTAGGTTTTACATTTTTTGCTCTGCTCCTGTGTCTGATATTTAAAGGGGCAGTACTTGCAGCTTCTATTTGGCTTTGTTAATTATGCAGGCTAGGGGTGAGGGTTCTGGTAGTCCCAGTTACCCCATTATGGACTCCTCTCAGACCCCTATTACAGGGGATATGGGCCTTACTCCCTCCCAGGAGTTCCAGGCCCTTTTTGATTCCACCATGCAGAAGGCCCTGGCTTCGGCCATGGGGACCGTGTCCTCGTCCCTCTCTCACACTATTCAGCAGGCGCTGTCGCAGCCTTTGGGCCCTGCCATGTTGCCTGCTCCCCTGCCTGCGCTGCAGCCTCAGACGGGTCGCAAGGCACAAGCAAAATTTAATCATGTCTCTCCAGATGTGACGCAGGTGATACCTGCCCTGACTGACGTGCCTATGGCCGTCCAAGATGGCGCGTTTCCACGCAAGAGAGCCGCTGGCCGGGCAAAATCGGCCAGAAAATGGAAACGGGCATGTGCCCGTGATGATGATGGATCGGATACCGATCAAACTGGAGAGTCGGACTCGCATCCCCCTGATTACGCCTCCTATGAGGAAGGGGTTTCCGGCGATGAGGCGGAGTTCGACGCTTCGGCGCTTCCTCCGGGTGAGGGGCAGGACATCTGTGATCCTCAGGGTTACCCCCTGTTCGATCCCGATGACCTTCGCGATGAGACCCGCCCGCGCATATTGCCAATTATCTGGTGCTTCGTATGCGTACCCCCCAGGCCTTCGGTGCCTGATGCGGCGTGCAAGACGCCAGAGGTTGACCCCCAGATTTCTCAGTTCCTAACTAAGACGGGTTGGAAGCCCCGGAAAGGACTGGAATTTTCACTGCATAATTGCCAAGACAAGATCTTGGATACCCTGGGCCCCACTGCCAAGCTTTATGAGCTTTTGGAAGCAGCTAAGGCTGGAACGAAGCCTATTGACTTTGATGAGGCGATTGGGTGGGTCCAGAGGTTGATTTGCCTTCCCGGCAACGCGAACACAGCCATGTCGGCTGAACGCCGCAAGGCGATTCTGCTCAAAATTGAGCCCAAGTTAGTTAA